GCCTATAAACAAATCGACCGACGGCTCGCACGAAATCAGTTGACCATCTCCAGCGACTGTAGAAACACCGTGCAACATGTGGACGAAATTGACCGCTCTGCTCTTGCTGTTCGCCGTCGCGACGTCTGTGCTCCTCGACGAACCAGGTGAGCCGTCTTCTCGAAATTCGAGGAACGCGAACGCTTCGCTGCAACTTCTCAGTCGCTTTGATCTGTACAAATGTTGAGCTGCTTGGCTTAAATGTGTTAATTTTTCGGTGCAGAAAGGAGATGCGTGGATGGGAAAAGTTATAACGATGGATGCAACTGGTGCAACTGTATGGGAGGATTGACGGTGTGCACTTTAATGGAATGCGAACGATACGATTCTGAAACCGGCGAATACGTTCCAACAGAGATTCTGCCTCCACCGGAAGATTATTGGGTCGCCTAATTAGAGTGTAATCGTTCAAATTATGCAGTGTCTACGGTCTTGATTTATATGGATCGTATCTTGCCCGAAGGAAGGCTTCTTCTGCTGCTAAAAATATTGTATGTCTTTATCGATCACTGTGCTGTACTGTTGGCTAGAATTAATTGTATGAGAAATGACAGTGTATCTGGCACGAGAATCTACTGAAATCGATTCGAGCATCGGCACCAGAAATTTTCGGATTTCTACACGTTTATACTTTCGAGACATTGAAGCGACCCGACCCGAACGAATTCGAACCTGGCCCGATCCGAATCAGTGAAATCCGACCTGACCCAAAACGACTGAAACCCAACCCGAATACTTGAAACCTGAGCCGCACGAGTAATTGGAATCCGACCGGAATACTTGAAACCCGATCCGTCCCGAATGATTGAAACCTGATCCGACCCGAGCACTTGAAACCAGAGCTGCCCGATTAATTCAAACCCGACCCGAATACTTGAAACCTGAGTCTTCGGAGTTATTCAAACACGTCCCATCCCAAATTATTGAAACCGGACCCGAACACTTGAAATATGAGCCGCTCGAGTAATTCAAACCCGAGCACTTGTAATTAAATCTACTCTTTCACCGATTACATTTGTCAATAGAAAAAAAGTGCAATATCTCTTCTTACTCTTTCACCTTGTAAATGTTTTCAATAAAAATATTTAACGCGTGTTATTCGATAAATACGACATTAGTTATGCGCGAGGACAAGCCGAAGGCGGAACAATTGTTCATCGTACACTAACCGGCTCCACTTCGACTATCGTTGACGAGCGATTCCGAGTGAGTCAGCCCATATAAATTTCCCTTCCAGGAAGACACCGTCGTACGAATATATCCCGTTCGATACGAGCTCCGTGGCAACGAGCCGTGAAATGACCGTTCGACGAAAACACACCGCGTACGCCGCATAAATTAATGTACGCCAGCCGGCCGATCGCTACTAAACGCCGCGAGAGTTCTTCTTCTCTCGGTCAGCAGGGAGACGGAGGTGGCAGCGAGGTATCGTCAAACAAATGAGCAGACGCTGGAACGGTACCCTAACCGCCCAGACTCCAGCAGCGCAAGCCAGCGTGAGATACGGAGTTACAGGAGTCGTTTTCCCTTACATCGTTATCATTTTTCCTCGAGAAGAATTGACGTATCAAAGCCGCTCGTCCCGGCGTGGCGCCTGTCCGTGAGATATGGAGACTCGTTAGGGGTGGCCGGACACGGCAGAAAACGACTCGCAATTACCGATTTCATGCTACCGTTAATACATCACAACATACGCGGTGCTCTATTCCCTTCGCAACACGCCACGCTAATTTTTCAATCGGTTTTCAAACACGCTTTCATTTCGATGCTTTTCGATGAAAGCATTTTCTATAAAATTTTCACCCTCTGGTGCGTGCATAAATTATGAAAAAAAGTGTGACGTATCACAGCTATCGGTGTATATGTTTGAGAATTTTTATACGGTTTTTAAGTTGACAATCTCAGTCGCGAAAAATTAGAAACTTCGAAAAATGCAGATTTCCTATAGAAAAAGAGATCGATTTTTTGTATTTGAATGCATGCAGAAATTTAAAAAATATTTTCACATATAACAGCCGTCGAGTTGCATTTCTCAGAATTTTTGTCGATTTTTAAGTTAACAATCCTGGTCGCAACAAATTAAAAGCTCCGAAAAATGCGAATTTCGTATAGAAGTATAGATCAATTTTCCGTATATAAATGCACACAGAAATTATGAAAAAAATGTGACATATCACGGCCTTCGAGTTGCATTTTGTAGAATTTTTGCCTATTTTAAAGTTAACAACCCCGATTGCAAAAATGGAAACCTTAAAAAAATGGAGATTCCATATACATATAAGTAAAAATCGCACAGCTGGAATTCTGTGCAGCGTTTATGTACAGGCTACTGCGGTGTTTATTTCGCGAATAAAAATGGATCTTGTTCTTTCTTTGCCCAGTCCACGTTCGCTTCTGCTTGATAAGGAATTTGACAGATCTGCGCGTGGCAAATACGGAGAATGGAAAGCCACGTGAATCCGGCGACGGCACTCGACGTGTCGAGTACTGTAAACAGATCGTAAAACGGGGCTTTTGCAATTGTAATTCGTACATGGTTCTCGATTTCCGTGTGATCCGATCGTGATTTCTGGTTCTGGACGGTGGCTGTGTAAGAATTTCTTGCCGGTTTGCGTGAGGCCTCGAAAGGATTGTTCGGCGAATGATCTCATTGGAATCCTTAAATGTCTTTCAGCAGTTACCTTTTTAACCCTTTCAGTGCAAAGCAGAGAATCTCTTAGCCGGACACGGGATACTGGGTGTTCCAGAACTATTGGGCAGAGAATCGTTTTGTGAACCAAACTGCGTTGACGTGGCAATATTAGCTTCATTCTTTTATTCGGACTATGGGTAAATTTAAACATTTTTTAAGTGGGGAATAATGCATATTTATACTTCAAATTGGTTCACATATCTCTATGTACTTTTTACAGCAGCAACAAATTTTTTAAATGGTATACTTATGCTTTTTATTACAGGAGAAGGCTGAGTTGTGTGAATGTATGTATGTAATGTCTGAATGCATCTCTGAAATTTGACAAAAGCTTGTTACACACTTTCTTATTCTTTCAATATGAACATGGGTCGGGTCGGGTCGGATCGAGTCGGTTCAGGCTTGAATCACTCAAGCTGGATCAGGTCACAAGCATTCAATAATTTGGGATGGGACGTGTTTGAATAACTCCGAAGACTCAGGTTTCAAGTATTCGGGTCAGGTTTGAATTACTCGGGCGGCTCTGGTTTCAAGTGCTCGGGTCGAATCGGGTTTGAATTACTCGGGCGGCTCAGGTTTCAAGTGCTCGGGTCGGATCAGGTTTCAATCATTCGGGACGGATCGGGTTTCAAGTATTCCGGTCGGATTCCAATTACTCGTGCGGCTCAGGTTTCAAGTATTCGGGTTGGGTTTCAGTCGTTTTGGGTCAGGTCGGATTTCACTGATTCGGATCGGGCCAGGTTCGAATTCGTTCGGGTCGGGTCGCTTCAATGTCTCGAAAGTATAAACGTGTAGAAATCCGAAAATTTCTGGTGCCGATGCTCGAATCGATTTCAGTAGATTCTCGTGCCAGATACACTGTCATTTCTCATACAATTAATTCTAGCCAACAGTACAGCACAGTGATCGATAAAGACATACAATATTTTTAGCAGCAGAAGAAGCCTTCCTTCGGGCAAGATACGATCCATATAAATCAAGACCGTAGACACTGCATAATTTGAACGATTACACTCTAATTAGGCGACCCAATAATCTTCCGGTGGAGGCAGAGTCTCTGTTGGAACGAATTCGCCGGTTTCAGAATCGTATCGTCCGCATGCCATTGAAGTGCACGCCGTCAATCCTCCCATACAGTTGCACCAGTTGCATCCATCGTTATAACTTTTCCCATCCACGCATCTCCTTTCTGCACCGAAAAATTAACACATTTAAGCCAACCAGCTCAACATTTGTACAGATCAAAGCGACTGAGAAGTTGCAGCGAAGCGTTCGCGTTCCTCGAATTTCGAGAAGACGGCTCACCTGGTTCGTCGAGGAGCACAGACGTCGCGACGGCGAACAGCAAGAGCAGAGCGGTCAATTTCGTCCACATGTTGCACGGTGTTTCTACAGTCGCTGGAGATGGTCAACTGATTTCGTGCGAGCCGTCGGTCGATTTGTTTATAGGCCGCGGTTCCGATAACCTTAGACACTGAGTGCTACCGTTTTTATCAAGCTCGGCGTTTACATACGATTGCCGTACGTTCGAACGCAGGTTCCCCAATTCACGTGTTGCTACATGCTTCTGGAGATCCGACTCTAATGGAGCACACGTAACTCCGTCTACGCCGTGGCCCTCCTCGAAATGTCGCAACGAATTCCTGATGCCGCAAGCCTGAAGCCAAGCGAATGAACGTCGAAACAGGAAAACACGCAACTTCTTTGAAATCGAAGTTCTTTGAAATCGATGATCACTGGGAAGATGTGGTGTTACTGTCTGTTTTAAAATAGAACTCTGAATATCTGAAATATGAATTTCTGAACTTACTTGTTTAATATGCGTTTTATATCTTCGAGATCAGCGTTCGGTCTTGCAGGATGCATCGACTATCGTTGTAGTACAATGTGCAATATATTTGCGAACATGTAACTTGTACGACTTTATTTGGGTTTCTAAATTTTGCAGCATCAAACTAGATAGTTCGTAGTGTATCTGGAAATTTTTGCGAAATTTTGGACGCGATCTAAATGTTCAAAAGAAAATTCCTGATCTTGAAGGAATTTAGAGCAATATTTAGTTGTCTGTAGAAAATGTGTGTCATTTTCGGACGTATCTTTAAGGGAATATTAAACTTGTACGGCTTTCTTTAGAAGTTTAATTTTTACAGGCTTAAAGCAGATACTCCGTAGTGTATCTGGAAATTTTTGCACAATTTTGGACGCGATCTAACTGTGCAGAAAAAATTCCTGAACTTGAAGGAGTTTTGTGCAATGTTTAATTTGCTACAGAAAATGTGTGCCATTCGCGGACATATCTTTGCGAAAATATTAACCTTATACGGCCTTCTTCAGACATTTAATTTGTACAGGCTTAAAATAGATACTTCGTAGTACATCTGGAAATTTTTGCAAAATTTTAGCCACGTTCTAACTGTGCAAAAAGAAATTCCCGAACTTGAAGGAATTTAGAGCAATATTTAATCGGTTGAAGAAAATGTCTGTCATTTTCATACGCATCTTTGCGAGAATATTAAACTTATACGGTTTTCTTCAGACATTTAATATTTACAGACTTAAACTAGGTACTTGTTTCTATATCTGGAAATTTTTACAGAATTTCTGCCGCGTTCTTAGCATGCGAAACAAAATTTTTAAAAATCCTCAATGACGACTTAACCCTGACGGGCACTCAATCTTTTAAAATCCCACATTATCTCGGCTATATCAGAATCGCCGAACAAAGGTTGAAATTACATCCGGTGTGTCGTCGCGGCGGTGACGATTGCGATTCCACCCGTGGCTATGTTGGCCCGTTTGATAAAGTCGCTCGATCGGTTCTGCTTGGAACCGAGTCGGAGCATCTATTCTTCCGGAGCGATGGGCTACGTAGAGTCAATTTACTCTTCCCATCGGAGATCGATGATCGTCCGAGGGCACGTAATCCTTTAGGGGGTTTTCTCTCGGAAGTGCCGCTGGTGGGGGCAGAGAAAAAAGCCGGGGCAAAAAGGTCGACGAAAGAAAGACGGTCCGCGGGGAGGGAGGAGGATGGATGGGGGAAGGAGGGACGGAGAGAGAAAGAAAGAAAGAATAACGGAGAGAAAGAGAGAGAAAATGACAGAAAGAAAGAGAGAGGGAATGGAAGAGAGAAAGAGAGAGGAAGAGAGAATGACAGAGAAAGAGAGGGAAAGAGAGAATGACAGAGAGAAAGAGAGAGAGAGAATGACAGAGAGAAAGAGAGAGAGAATGACAAAGAGAAAGAGAGAGGGAGAGAGAATGACAGAGAGAAAAAGAGAGAAAGAGAGAATGACAGAGAGAACAAGAGAGAAAGAGAGAATGACAGAGAGACAGAGAGAGAATAACAAAGAGAAAGAAAGAGAGAGAGTGAGAATGACAGAAAGAAAGAGAGAGAGAGAGAGAGAATGACAGAGAGAATGAGAGAGAGAATGTCAGAGAGAAAGAGAGAGAGCGACACGGAGAGAGAAAAGAGAAAGAGAGCCGGAGAGAGAAAGAGAAGGTTGAAGGGAGTGGAGAAGGGACAAAATGAGCAGTCTCGATGACAGGCGCGTGGCCTTACAGGGCGGTGGCCACCTCCATTTACATTTACAACACCCGCCACTGCCTTATACGGCCTCTTATCCGGTCGTTCGATGACATTTCTCTTTTATTCCTTTATTTTCGTGCCCACGTACCACGAAAGCCTCTGCGAGCCTGCGGAGCGCAGTGGCCTGGCGTTCCATGGCCAAAATTCAATTTCATAAGCTTAAGGGCGAGGCAACCGTTACGGCATCACACTACACACACACGCATAATAGAAACCAGTATACTTATACGTGTCTCAAGCAACCTACAAAAGTTCCGAAAATGTCATTTTGCCGCTTCAATGCCGAAATCGGCAGTTCGAGAGTGGCAAATCGTGCTCCTTAAACGCCCAATCTAGGCACCTTCGGTCTCCAAAATGCCAAATTTAACCCTGCCATCGAGCAATTTGCCATATTCGACAACCTAAACGGCTGTCGCGAGACTTCCGAAGCAAGCGCCGCGTCAAACAAAATGGCCGCCGTTGACAGATTTTCTTAAATATCGCGAGACTCGGCGTCCGCGTCGATCAAATAAAACCGTACGGAAATAGCCGGGACATGTACGAAGTCGCTGGTGTTTATTTTGATTCGATTGCTTATTTATTTAGGACGAAAACCGTCGACTTTAAGAACACCGAGTCGCGGTTCCGACATTTTCCGCTACCAGCGCCACTGTTGCTTTTCGATTAAATCTGACAGTGTTTAGAATTGTACATTAATTGAAGAAGGCAGTAGTTTGGAAGAGTCTGCGAAAGTTTGCTTGGCGGTTGAAGATGTTTGGAGACGTTTGAAGATGTTTGAAGACGTTCTAAATTGCTGAGGATGTTGTTTGAACTCGTCGATGATGTTTGAAATTCTTGTAGAAGTCGTTTGAAGTCGTTTAAGGCCATTGACAGTGTCCAGGAAGTTGTTTGAAGTTGCTTAAGGCCATTGATATCGTTCAGGAAGTTGTTTGAAGTTATTTAAGGCAATTGAAATTATTCAGGAAGTCGTTTGAAGTCGTTTGAGACCATTCACAACGTTTAGAAAGTTGTATCAAGTGGTTTAAGACCATTGACTCTGTTAATGGAGTCGTTTCAAGTTGTTCAAGACCATTGATATTATTAAGGAAATTGTTTGAAGATGTTTGAAGAGGTTTGAAGACGTTCTAAATTGCTGAGAATATTGTTTGAAGTTGTTGAAGATGTTTGAAATTCTTGTGGAAGTCGTTCCAAATCGTTTAAGGCAATTGACAGTATTCAGGGAGTTGTTTGAAATTGTTTAAGGCCATTGACATTGTTCAGGAAGTCGTTTGAAGTTGTTTGAGACCATTCACAACGTTTAGAAAGTTGTATCGAGTGGTTTAAGACCATAGACTCTGTTAATAGAGTCGTTTCAAGTTGTTCAAGACCATTGATATTATTAAGGAAATTGTTTGAAGATGTTTGAAGAGGTTTGAAGACGTTCTAAATTGCTGAGAATATTGTTTGAAGTTGTTGAAGATGTTTTAAATTCTTGAAGAAGTCGTTCGAAGTCGTTTAAGGCCATTGACAGTGTTCAGGGAGTTGTTTGAAATTGTTTAAGGCCATTGACATTGTTCAGAAACTCGTTTGAAGCTGTTTGAGACTATTGTCGTTATCGCTGATCATTGACATAGTTCTCCAACTGACCGTTCTATTTAAATAAAGGACACGAGGAAACATCTCCTTTAAAAATCTCACCGGTATCAAGTGGAATGATCCGTTGTTGATCAGACAATATTTTCCCAGCTTGGATCACTGCTATCTTACGAAGCGTAATAAACTTTATGAAGTCAGTGAATCTTTATGAAGCAAAAAAACAAGTACACACAGTAATCTTTTCATTAAGTAAAGAAAGTTTGTACAGCGACCTTTATGAAGTAAAGGAAGTTTATACAGTAAACTCCATGAAAGTAAAGAATGCTTCTACAGTAAACCTGAAAAATTGAATGAAGTCATCTCGAAAGAATTCTCTCTAAAAATTTGACAAACTCCTTGAAGCGGCGTGCATTTCTAGAAAGTGTTCCTTTAATTTTGTAACCTTGTGTAGAACAAACTAAGATCACCCGAACAGTGAAATACAATTGAATGTAAAATGCACACGTACACAGTATATTTATAATATGATTATTCATATTAATTCACATTAATATGATATTTCATCAAATATCATATTTTATCGTATACTATACTCAACATCAGTAGCCAAAAAAATTATTTTTCGTGTTACATAGTGGCTGTTTAAAATTCGGTCTCTGGAAACTCGGTTAATCGAGCGACCATAAATAAAGTAAAATAAAATGAAGTATAAAATTCGCGTCAAATACTAAACATCGTGATTTTTTCGACCCCGCAAACAATGACTCCGCATAGTGAATTTCGCGATTCCGTTGTCCACGAAGTACGCATAAGGTGTTAAACAGCAAGAAGTCCGGCTAGGAAGAAGTTAACCGGCGCGTCCGAATCGGCTTAACGAATGATCGCGCGAGCGCACCGTTTAAATGCAAATCGCGGCCGCCCGGTTTCATTTACGTCTTCATCGTCATTCGTCCGTCGTCTTCGCGCACGAAATTCCAAGTTCGGCTTAGCGTCCACTTCTTTCGCTGGTCTCTGTAAACGACGCCGCAGAGAAGCCGGAGTTCGAGGGAAATCGGCCCGAACGCCGCGCCGTTACCTTTTCCGTTTCAGCCGCGACAAATACAACGTCCGGCGATTTTTTCGCCGCGAAACGTTCGCAGGACAATGTCCGAGGGCGGGTTGATTTGCAACTGGAGCGAATAAATGAACGGCGGCTACGTGCGTCGAATCGCGCGCACACGTAATCGACTTCAACGCGGCCGCGAAGACCAAACAGGAACCTGAAGAGGTACCTGAAGAGGTTCCCGAGGAGGAACTTGAAGACGAAGACGAGGAGGACTTCCGCGCCGACTGCGTTTCGATGAGCTACACGGCACGGCACGAGGCGATTATTTGAAATGTTGCTTGAATAAAAATTTATTCGAGCAATTTATTCGGAATAATTCTTGAATAAAATTCGATTCGAGGAATTTATTCGGAATAATTCTTGAATAAAATTCTATTCGAGGAATTTATTCGAAATGCTTCTCGAATAAAATTTGATTCCAAGAATTCATTCAACATATTCCTCGAATCTAAGTTTATTCCAAGAAATCAATCGAAATATTACTCGAATTAAATTTTACTTAATGAATATATTACTCAAAATATTACTCGAATAGAATTTTATTCGACGAATTGACTTGAAATATTATTCGAATAGAATTTTATTCGACGAA